CCCAGTAGAGTCCCTTTAAACCCTAAACCTTAGGAGGACCCCCACCCTGTAGTAGTGGTACAATAGGAATATAAGAGGACCCGAAATATAGTTACCATTATCCTTTATAGTCACTATTACAGGGTGGGGGGTCCTCCTAACCTAAACCCTTAGTCCGAGTTTGGGACTCGGGGTTTGAGCAGGGTTCAGCGTTAGGACTTGGGGATTTAGAGTCAAAGGGTCCAAGTACTGATCTAGTAGGAGTTTGGATCGGAAACTGCCCAGAAAAGAATAAGCCTGCCGTACAGATCTTGTTTAGGTGCTTCGACCTCTGGGTAAACACTACACCCAAAACACTTGGAAGGTAGGCAAAAATTCGCACTTGGTTCTTGGGTAGGTTACAGTACACGGAGCCCATGGCCCACAAGACGGAGTAGGATCAAACTAGCGAGTGCAATAAGCATGTATAAAAGCACGGCGTATATTGCTGAAATCTTCTCAAATTCAGTTACCTATTATGAGTAAATTCCCCAAACCCTAAACCCTCAACCCCTACACCTAAACCCTAAACCCGTGAACCCTAAACACTTGAAGCAGAACAAGCCATGGTGTAGGCAACAGGGCTTCTACCTGGAAGTTCGCATAATTTCAACCCCAACACCACCCCAGGGCTCCCACGTAGTTCCATTTTGGGTCTGTTATGATTCTATGTGGCATTTAGGACCCCTACTAAGGGTTAAGGGTGGAAGGTCCAAGCTAAGTCCTAAGGAGGATTTTGGAGGGGGTTAGTATATACTACCCAAAAAAGAACTACATAGGAGGGTCTGAGCATTTGTAGTCATAGCCCACTGATGGCCCCCTACATGCCCCCAAATATGGTTATAACTGGATTTTACGTACCAGTTATAATTGGGTTAAGATGATTAAGCCCTAAATCCTGACGGAACTGGCGTGCCGTGAGAGTCGATGTAGACAGGTAAAACGTTTTGAGGTACCTAGGCCCTTGAAAGAAAGTGTGTTACCCTTAAACCCCAAACAGTGTCGAAGTGTCGTGT